TTTATCAATCAATTTTTTTAGGCGTTTAATCTGTTTCTGAGGCATTTTTTTTGCAGTGCGACCACTCCCTGACCACTGACCACTTCCAACTTTTCTTTCGGGTCCTGAATTGATCTCCTTTTGTCGCAGTATATTGTACATGGTTGATTTTGGAACATTTTCCATGCGAAAATGATTAACAACAAAACTTTTGTTCTCTTCTGGATGCAAATCCAGAAAAGCGTACACTCGTTTACAGAGTGCCTCTTGATTTTTCAATCTTTTAGACATGTTTAATTAGGCTCTGGAAAAAAAAAAGACTTGAAATATTGTAGAGGAATAAAATTGCAACAAAATAAATAGAATTATAAAATTATAAAACATTGTTAGACATAAATTGAAGCCACAAAGTTTGTCCAGATTTTTAGTTGTCTCATGTTATTTTAGATTTAATTTAAAATAATAATTAAAAATATTTTAAACAATTTTTAATCAATATATACATTACATAATATATTTGCATATACTGTTTTGCGTAATATTTGTAAAATTAACAAAATAGTATTATGTCTTGTATTTGAATTAAAAACATAAGCATTGGGGTTGTTCATTAATTACACCAACAAAATAGGGGGAGGGGGGAGGTCAATTAAAGTTGATGTCAACAATTTCATTGCTTAAATAATGGAAAATTTGGCTGAGTTTGTAGCATAGCTTCTTTGTATAGGAGGGGGGCGGGGGAAGTAATCAAAAATTGACATAATTTAATAGGGATGGGGGAAGGGGTCTCTGGAAATTTGACAAATTGTTGACAAGGGGAAGGGGGAGGTAAAAATTTTAAAAATATTGTTGACGTTATTAATAGACACCCCCATTTAATAAACAAATTCGATAAGCATTTAATAAACGTATTTAATAAACTATTCAAATAAAAACATAAGCATTTAATAAACTTATTTTCTGTTATTTTAGATTTAAAATTTTGATTTAAATATTAGTAAATCTGTTCATTTAACTTTTACTAAAGGTTATAATTTTTAAAGTGATTTTAAGACGCCTTATAAGTTAAAGATAATTAGAGATAACTACAGTAAACATATTTTTAAAAATATTCTATTATTTGGATTAAAAACCATATTATATTTTTAAAAACATATATTTAAAAAAATATATTTTTTTAATTATTAAGAATAATTTAAAAAATTACATTTGAATAAATAAATTACATTTACTATGGGTTATTTTAAACAGATTTAAATAAAACTTTTATAAAGTATTTGAAACCAATTTTTTATTATTTTAAAAAGAATATTGAAAGGAAAAAAGTTGTCTGAAAAGGTTTATACTTCGTTTTTCGTTTTCGTCAAGTAAACTAAAATAGCAAGCTAAAGATCAAAAGTTCATTCATTTAAAAATTAAACTTGCACGATAGTTACAAGGACTGATATTTTTTACTTTTGTTCATTTATTATCAAAAGCAGTTTACTCTTAATTGCCAAAAACAAAAATTAACTTTACGCTGAATGTATATTTAAAAGCGTTTTAACTTTTAAAAAAGCAAATCTTTTATACACTCCATTATTATTAAATTTTGCAACGTGTTTTTAAAATTAAGTTTCATGACAACTTTCATTTTTTTTTTAAAGTTACATCCAGTTACTAGCCGAAGGCAAATTACATCATGTAATAATGTAAAAAAGCACTTTCTTTTTAATTCTTTTTATTTTCCTGAAGAAACAATGAGGTAGCTAAATTAAACTGAGAATTATTTATATACTATTGCATTTAAAACTGAATTTTTTTTTTCTATTTTTCATAAAAAATCAAACGAAAAATAAAAAATAAAAATAACTTTTGGTTCTTCACTGGTATATATATATATATATATATATATATATATATATATATATATATATATATATATATATATATATATATATATATATATATATATATATCCTCTCAATTTATATCTCAATATATATATATATATATATATATATATATATATATATATATATATATATATATATATTCTCTCAATTTATATCTCAATATATATATATATATATATAAATATATATATATATATATATATATATATATATATATATATATATATATATATATATCCTCTCAATTTATATCTCAATATATATATATATATATATATATATATATATATATATAATATATATATATATATATTCTCTCAATTTATATCTCAATATATATATATATATAAATATATATATATATATATATATCCTTTCAATTATATCTCAATATATATATATATATATATATATATATATATATATTCTCTCAATTTATATATATATATATATATATATATATATATATATATATATATATATATATATATATATCCTCTCAATTTATATCTCAATATATATATATATATATATATATATATATATATATATATATATATATATATATATATATATATATATATATATATATAACCTCTCAATTTTGAAATTCATAAATTAAGCAA